TCGGGTGATTGTGAACTGCAGTAAAGCCAGATAATTAGATGGATAAGCAAAATCGTCATTTCTTCACAAACAGAATTCACATTTATTCACGAACAGATGAACACGAGGAGAAAGAAAAAAAAAAATGAATATATAACGAACTTCCTAACTCCTAACATTAATTTCAAGAAATCCCACTCCAAATACTTTAATGCAAAAATAATTGTTCTCTTGCAACTGCAGTTCAAGCACATATGTTTATAAGATCTAGCTTCTCATGTTATTTTGGAATTCTATGCACACACAAACACTCACACTATCAAAGGTTTGCGAGTTGCTCGATGGTCACGGGATAAACAAAATCAGTGCTCCCATTAAAAGCTTTCTGAGCGAGCACTCTGTTCATGGCCTCTGTCGTGTGATAAGCGTCCCAAAAAACGTACTTTTTCCTGTCCGGGCAAGGCGTTTGGAACGGCAGACAAGTTATCTGCCCTCTGTTCCTCCCTGTCCCACAGCAACCTCTGTTCACCACACTAAATCCTAGAATAATAATTAAGAAAATAATAAAAAAAACGAGACCGAAAAAATGAAAGCAAATGAGACATCATCAAGAAAACATCCAAAATAATAACAAATAATAGTAAATGATAAATTAAAAATAAAATAAAATAATGAGGTGGGTAGCCTAGCAGCTAGCTACCATATGATCTAGCATTGGAAAGGACATCGTCCACCAATTTATGAATGTCGATGAACGAAAACAAGGCGTCCGGGAGACTATTTGTGAGATTGTTGATCATCGCCTTTGTGTTTCCATTAAACGGGACAACGAGCTGATTCACCTCCTCCACGCACATATTACCGTCCCCACCACCTTGGGCCAAAATGCTCGGGATACAGCCCAACGGGCCTACCCCAGCTATCACAAACTTTCTTGCTCCAAGCCTGTACAGCCTCTGCAAGTTTTTCATTTATTTATTTTTTTATTAAATAAAGCGATGACGTAAAACGGCACTCGCATGCATGGCACGATAAAAAAAAAAAAATGAATATCATCTTACGGTGAGCTGGCAGCCGTATTCTTCGATCAATAGATCCGCAAACTGCTGCGGATTGTACTGATTTCGGGTCACGTAATTAGGCATGAGATAGTTGTTGAGATAGTCGTTGCTGCCCATGGCCACGAAGAAAATGGATCGGGCCAAGGCGTCCGACACATCCGGTGAGCTGGAGCCAAGCCCGTCAATGATTTGGTCGAGAGTGTTCTCAAAGTTATTGATTTGGTCGTTAAACGGGATAAGCGTGACCTGTATGTACAACACCAACATCCCTGCCGGTAAATTAAATTTAAACGTGAAAATTTCAAAAATTGGGAGGGAACCGAAATTTTTTGCCGCTTTTTTTCTATATTTATTGTTTAAAAAAAAAAGGGCTTACGAAATTTTTTCCCGTGATGTCGAGGATGCCGGCAGCAGCAGAGGCGAAATTAACTCCGAACCGCATTTGTTCGACTGTTGAACCCGTGTGGGGAGGTATTAGAGGCAGTCCTAGCAATTCCCCTGCATGAGTATAATAAATAATATTGGATGTAAGATGATATTAAGATAAGAAATATTGTAGGAAGAGATGTATAGGATTTTNGTTTGATATATGTACCGACAACATCGGCCATAGTGAGGCCATTGGAGAAGCGGCCGGTGGGGCCCTCGCTGAAGTCGATGCCGTAAGGGAAATAGTTTGCTTTTGCGAACGAAATCAGGAAGTTGTTGTTGTTGCCATTGTCCGAAAGGGAGTCTCCGAAAACGAACATGGCAGGCACTAGGTCTCGCCGCTGGCTAGATTCCGGAGGAAATGCGTCTACTTGGCCTTTTACGACACTTGCATTGCATGCGCTTAACAACACCAAAATGGAAAAAAACACACAAAACCTCACTTTCTTATCAGCCATTTCTTTTCTTTCTTCTTCCTTTTTTTCTTTGGTCTCTCTATTTCTCTCTCCCTCTCTCTCTCTCTCTCTCTCTTTGTCTCTCTCTCTCTCTCTCTCTGTCTCTCTTTCTGTGTCTAGAGACCAAATAAAGGATGATGCTTTTTAAGGTTTGATGGTTTAGAGAGTAGTGCATTTCTAATGGTAGTGGTTGGGAAGGAGTAAATGAATTTCACCTGTAAACTTTCTGATTCCAGCAAATGTCCATGCAAAAAAATGTATTTGGTTTTTGCCACTTATTACAATTTCTTTCTTGCTGGTTTCTGCAAACATTTAGCTAGGTGTCTTCTGATAAAACACACATATTTTTGGTAAAACTTTTCACAGCCTGTATAGGTAGGTTACTTGCCACTGCATGTGAGATTACTTATTCAGGTCATGTTTGGTTTATCGCCTTCTGCTTGAATAGCGCATTTTTAGCGAAGTTGAGTTCCGGAGGCAGAGTTGTGTCGGTATACCTTATACGCGTTTTGAATATTTTAATTCCTATAAATAACCGAAATCGAGTAAATTAAAACTACATGCTGAATATGGTTGTAATGGACAAACTGATGTTTCTGATTTGTTACAAATCTTAATTCTGGTTACAGTGCTTGTTTGGGAAGGTTTTCTGTCATGCAGTTACAAGCAGGTCCAGCACAATACAATTTTTGCTTCTTCCATTAGAAGTTTTGTCCAGACAGCAATTAACAAGGACTCACTCATCCATTTGAAGTAATATTTTTTTTTTTTTTTTGGAAATGTCATACTAAATTTGAATTGTCTTATTCCATTACAACAACACATTATCCTTCTGCTTTTAAACATTGCATGATGTAAAAATTACCCGTGACACGACAAGCATATCATGTTCTTACTACCTAAAACTATTTCTTATGAAAAACACAATCATTTTCCACTTCAACTAATGAAAATATAGCTGGAGTCATAAGTTACTCACTGAAAAAACAGTGGTCTGAAATGAATTTTCAGAGCTGTTCCAGACTTGTGGAATAACAAATAAGTGAGATTTTTTTATTTTTTTTTAATCACTCCAACTTTTACTTAACACACAAACCATGGTACAAAAACATAGGAATCCAGCAACACATTTACAAGTCTTTCTGTTCTGATGATATTTTTTGCTACAGACTTAATTAAGGCCAACCTGGAAACTATGGAAGATAGAATCAAAACAGGTAAACCCTAAAATTTATATTTATAATATAAATAAAAAAGGCATGAAACAGAAACCCACACATTCTTCATCACTTGAAGCACTTAGCATCCAAGAGAGGCTCGCCCTCAAAAGGCTCGGCATCTTCTATCATCTGATTGACACGCTCCTTTTGAATCTCATCGTTAATATCAACCTTTGTCCAATCATAGAGCTCCATGTCATAGCACTCGTCAAGTACAAACTGAGGTATTTCGGTTCCCCTGAAGAGCCACAAACCCTTCACCTTGTATGGGGGCTCCCCGCCAATAATCAGCATTTTCCCAAAAGCATACTTGCGGGCCAAGTCCATCCGCTGCAGAAAACCGCTCACTTTATTTAGAGTAACAAACGAGACCATGTTCTCGTCATTGTATTTGTAGTCGCAAAACCAAAGGGAATAGCCCTCAGGATCATACATGTCCCAAAACCCTGGCATATCACAAAAAAACCAAGAGTTGGAAAGATATTCAGTCACGAGATCTAAATCAAATTTCCAACTATCACAAAGATGAAATCTTGTTTGTTTGAAACTTTTTCAATAGAAAATCATCAAATATTAATTTTCATTGTCCACATAAAAAAAAAAAAGAGAGAAGATTTTTACCTTTGATAGCAACCCCACGAAAGTTGGTCTTGGTGTTAGAGTAGAGCCTCTTCCAATCATCAAGTATCATCTTACTCGGAGGCAACAGATCCAAAGGATTCTTTGCCTTTGGCTTTGGTGCTTCTTCTTCTTCCTCTGCCACTGGTTTGGGCTTCACTTGTTCCTTCTTAGCCACCTCTTTAGGTGCCTCCTTTTCCTTTGCCTTGGATTTTGAAGCTTCTTTTGTCTGACCAGGTTTCTTTGATGCCACAGGTGGAATGGATTCTGCTTGTTTCACATCACCCAATATCTTCTTGAAATTTGGCTGATTGACCAAGGTCCAAAAGTACCTCTCCACATGCGGGAATGGAGATGTAAAGCTTTTGGTCAAGATTGCCTTAAACCCAATACTCAGGTTACACGTCATAACAATATCAGCAAGCGTGACTTGGTGCCCAACTAAGTAGGTATTGGAGGCAAGATGAATATTCAAAGCTTCCAAAGCTCTCTTTAATCCAGCAATTGCAACCTCCTCAGCCTGCAAACAGATGAAAAAATAAAATAAAATAAAAATAAAAGTGATTTAAAAACCTTGAATTTTCAGTTAACCAAGAGAATGATATGTCGGTAGGTAGTTAAAACAGTTGCAAGATGGATATATACCGGAGGAAGATGAAGACCAAATCCAAGTCGTGGATACAACCAGCGACCCAAATTGATATCAATCTCATTAGCAGAAAAATCAATCCACTGCTCAATGTGCCCCTATCAAAACCAATAAAAAAGAAGGATAATGTAATACAATGTTAAGCAAGACTATAGAGAATGTGATGGAAAACATTTGAGCAAGGAAAATGATAGGATCGGAATATTTCATGTGCAGAAACCAAATATCAATCACTTACATATTCAATCAAGGAAGAGCCATACAGGGGGTTATCAGGCTTCAATCTAGCCACTGTATAAATAAGATAACAAAACACGTCAGCACCAAATTGCAGCAGAATAAAACCAAAGAACAAATCTTATCAAGAGTACTGATACCATAGCGGGCAATGGCATTGCTTTCAAATATGGGGCCGTCAGGAGTTTCAAGCAAAGGAACCTAAAAAGTGAAACTGAAAATCAAAAAGCAGAAGAACTACGGTCCACATAATTTCCTTCAATTGTTATTCATACCTTTCCTATAGGATTCATCTTTAGGAATTCTGGTGTCTTATTTGATACACCCATCTCAAAATCCTTAGCCAATTCAATCTTTATGCCACTGTATTCTGCTGCTATGAGCGCCTTGAAGGCATTTTTGTTCGTACTGGAAGCATGCAAAACCTGTTTAAAAGAATTAAAAAGGCCAAGAAACTTAATTAAACAATAAAAGGTAGTTAAGCATATCCTAGAGTCTACTAGAAATTTACAGTTTGATGACAGCAATCCAATTGCAAACTATTGACTCAGTATAATATTTTCTCCAAATAAATCTTGGATTAAAAAATTACCAAGACATCGAACGGATTAGTGTTATCAAATTCCCACTACGGTGGTATGGCTTAGCGGATTTCTGCCAAACCGCCATTAGAAATTTGTTAAGTATGGCGGTTATGGCCCCACCCAGGCTGAACCATTTTCAGCCATCCACCATTAATAACACTGGAATCAATCATAATAAACATATTTCCACATATCTAATCAAGTTAAAATCTCGTCTAAGGGAACCCCAGAGCACAGACAACAAAATGTGCACCCGAAAATTGTTACAAGATGCAAAATTTCGGCCGAAGGACCAATAATACTAACACAACCACCAAGTTGCAGACTTGCTTAGACTGAGACCGAAGAACTTTCGACATTTTTACACTCCGCAAAAATTATTAAATATCAATCAGAATCTGTCAACTTCTACATTCAACCAATCAACAGTTCAATACTCCACGGATCTGCCAATAACATCAACAGAAAAAAATTAATTTATGTAACAGAAAAGACAAACAGGAGTAAACTAACCAGGGCCATGGCTCCACAAGATCAACTTTAACTGGTCAAAGACACCACCAAAAATACCTGATAAAACCAACAAGAAAAAGAATCAAATTATCAGGGAGTTAAGGAAACATAATATGGTTGCATATTAGATGAGGAACTGAAACTGCATAAGATTTGTTGAGAAGTATAAAAGGACCAACCCTTACGAGCCGCTGTGCTAAACCAGAAACGAGAGATGTGATTGTAATTTAGGGTTTCTTCCTGGTCCAGTGGTCACCGTGTTATTTATTATTAGGCTGTTATTATTCCCATATTACCGTCCTTAAGACTATTTTGCCTTTGATATTTTTTCAAAAATCTCAAAAAATAGTAAATTCTTTGAAACCAAGTTATTTCTGGCAAAAAAATATCATCCGACAAAGTGCATGTTTTGGTCGGCCCATCGGCCGGCGATTGCGGTTGCGGCCGGCCGCGACCGCAATCATCGGTCGGCCGGCGACAGTCCGGCCGGTCAATTTTTTTTAATTAGTTAATTTTATTTATGAAAAAAAATATTAGTAGCAATTATTATGTCATAAATTAGAATTAATTATCTTTGTAAATTAAAAGTTATTACTATTATGTTACAACTTAGAAATTATTATGTTATACATTTTGATTATCTTTGTAAATTAAAATTTATTACTATTATGTTTAAACTTAGAAATTTATTATATTATAAATTAGAATATATAAAGGCCGCATTCCACGGATATTGATGCGGGGTTTCATGCAAATACTCTTGTTTGTCCTATTTTTGTTGTATTTTTCGTTGTTATTTTACCTTTATTTTTTCTCGCTTTAGGTCGTTTGTTTGGTTTTTAGTTGTTTTTGTAGTTTGTTGCATGTTTTCCTTCATTTTGAGTTTTTCTGTATTTTTCTTTCGTTTTTCAGTTTTCTACGTTTTTATTTTCGTTTCTGGTGTGCATGTCTGAAGCTTCGGGCGGATAGGATTTCAAGAATAAGTTTTCCCTGCAAGCATAATTAGCTAGAAAGGATCGTTGGCGATAAGTAGGAAAAAGCGGAACCCAATTCCGAGTTCAGACGAGCTCAAACGAGCCCAAAACGCAAAGTCGCGTGAAGCACGGTTTTGGTGTACAAGTCATAAGCTTTGGGAGAATAGAATTTAAGTAAATATTTGATTGGAAAGCATAATTGACTAGA